CACCTAGATGAAGCACCGCTCTAGGACAGTCCGTCGCCTAGTAGCTCCCGAAGTCCACCGACTTCACTGTAATTTGTGCACCATTGTCTGGATCCTGGGCCTCTGCCCCTACCAGCACAATCTCCGCTGCGCACTGCTTCCTTCATGGCAACTTGAATGGCAACACTGTGGCATATTCTTCAAGAGTACTCGCCTCTGCGTCCTCTTGCCCCATGCTAAGGCCTTCTGAACCCAACTTCGCCTCCGCAAATTGAGTCGCCTTAGTTCCTCCATCAAATGCTCCTCCGAGATAAGGTGCATGTGCCCAGAAGCTCCCTTCGTCTTTGGCACCATGCAAGATGAGTCCGCTCCGTCATAATGAAGGGCCCATGGAACAATATGATCCTACTCTTGCCTCTGCAAGAGTTCATGTCCTTGACCTCTGTCTAAGGAAAGCACTGTGCCTCTGCTCCATGTTCCAACTTCTATGCTGGCTCCCTTCATGCGGCTTGGGTACTTCGCTAAGTTACACCCAAGTTGCTCCGCTCATCGTTTTTGCATTGAGTCGATGGTGGCCCTCGCGCCCACCATTCCACGGGTCAGCCCTCCCTTGAGTCCAATCTCCACATCGACTCCAAGTATGCCTTCATTTAAGTTGCTTTGGGTCGCTCCCCCACTTGATCTCGCAATGCATCCACTAATGCATTCTCTCAAGCGAGATCATGCGACGACTCCTCGCCGCTTGCTCAGTCCATCGAGCTTCGTGGAGTTGTTGTTTGTTGAGGTACTCCTCCTCAACATGTGAGGTCCGTCTCACATGATTCTCCCTCTGGAGAGCCGGGACTTATCCCTCCTGGATAACTGTCCCATTGGAGCAACATCTCTCTTCGTTTCGGAGACCACCATCCCCTTGGACTACTCCGATCTGCTGAACAAACTGTGCATTGTTCTGCCTCCTGCAAACGCACTTGCTAGATTGCGACTCCCCGTCAATACAGCCCCCGCTGCACCCCTCAAGGCCTAGCAATATGCTGAACTTATTGCACACTTCAGCCTCCTACGGACGTATCCTTCACATGCCGAAGAGAAAGTTTCAATGCTCCATGGCGCCGAGTTTCGGTCGCCTTGGGATGGCCACGAACATTCCATCGTCCACATACAAGCCCATGCATGAGTACCAAATTCTTCGAGTTAGCAATTCCCCTCACCTCTGTGAGCTTTGCATAACTCTTTTGGTCGTTGAGCAACTCATTCCACCTTGGATGGTCTCATCCTTTACCAAGCGCCTCGCTTGCCTTGAGCACCATCAAGTATAGTTGTCAACGTTGAGCCATAGCTCAAACTCAGCCATCCCAACCTTTATGCGCTCCACATTCTTCCAAGCTTGTCTGTTCTCGTGGTGCCTCTTACGCGAAGGGTTGGCCATTGCTCTGAATGCCAATCTCAGATGCCCGCTCCTCCGAGCGACTCCTTTTCCCTACATCTCCATGCTCGTTTTCCCCCCAAACGGTCGCGCGTGTGCTGACTGCCCTCAACGCAGCCCCGCTAGGTCCCCCACGTTTGCATGTCAAGGTGTTTCTATGAGTGCTTGTCCCGCTCTGATACCATCTGTCACGGACTTAGCTGGTTTTGCCTAAGTCGTGCGGCACCCTTGCGTGTCCGTCCGCAAAGGTCAGCCTCCCCGAAGCCTCCCATTGTCCCTTAGGACCACCAAAAGAGAGAACGGGTTAGAGAGAACGCCTCAATTGGGATCCACAAGCAAACATCTCCGAAAAACACTTCATAGACAATGTAAATTACAAACAGACTTTACAAGCTCTGAACAGTGGCACAACAAAGGGTAAAATAGTCCATTACAGACCGAAAATCTCTCGCACGTGTCCACATGACACAACCTTTATTTACAAGCCTAAAGAGGCCACCAACCCAACTAAAATGGGACTATTAAGCCTTCGGCCGCCCCTCTACATGCTGTACAAGGCATGAACATGCCAAAAGACACGGACATATATAAGCATTACATCAAACATCCTGTTTCGAAGTTTGTCCGTGACAGGGTGGTAAAGGTTTATATACCACTCTATATCTCAATGCTGACAGGCTTATTGGACTTCTATTTAAGGACTTCACTTGCTTGGCTGATTATGGTATTTGCATCAACATGGGACTTCAGTTGCAAAATGCTTACCGTTTGTTATTTCCACTACTAGTTTCATAACATGAATTGACTCTTCTTTTTTGCCTTTTTTTCATGCATTTTTCTGACATGCAGGTATGCTGATGGCCCGAACAGTTCACACTGCCACACAGTGCACTAGTTAGGTGTTCAGAACCTTGGTTCACAAGTAAGAATTGATGTCGTGCGAGCAATACCAAATACTTGGTTTTCCAGTACTTTGTTACACAAATTTGTTAACCAAGATGAAACAGACTACAAAGAATTTTGAATCTAAGCTAGAGTTCACTTTTGCCTTAGAGCAATGTTATCATGTTCCTCTAAAAAGGGTCCTCTTCAGCTTAACTTTAGCTCAAGCAAGAATCAGGTGAAGAAACATCCCAAGCTTGAGTTGATTAGACCTATGCTGGACCAATCATACTTACCCCTAGAATAGATCCAATATGTCAAGGATGACAACAATGATCATAGTGGCTTGGCATGCGAAATATAAAGTGACAGAAAAGAATAACAGGATAATAACAGCATAACTATATCATGAAATGCAAGAGATATAATTGCGAAAACACCCTTGAGAAAATAATAAAGGATATCTATGTACTGAAATTCAAGGGTCTAACTGCAAAAGCCATTATGTACCTACGAGCAAGTAATAAAATATTTCACTGATGTTAGGAAAAGATGGGTTAAAAATGAATTAGATAGATAAACAAAACAAAGGGCTCAAATTAAAAAAGCCACTCATGCACTAGAAAAAGAATCCAAGTTCTATGGGAAAGGCTAGAAAATATTTAAGTAGTAAACTAATGAATCTACTGGAGAATTAACATATTTACAGGTGTTTATTTATCCTTAGTGAACATATGCCATCAGAATATAAAATCCAATTTCTGTGAGAGATGTAATGGAGATAAAGAACACCCCCCAAAAATATGAAATATAAATGCATCAAAGGTCTATCCAAAACATAAAATATCAGTCTCATTCCATTACCACAGTGGTTAGTCAGTATGGTAGCAATGGAGGAAGAAGTGGCAGCAACTCGGAAAAGGAGGAAGAGGCATGGTGATTTTATGATGGGCGGAGGAGTTGGTAGCAAAGTGGAGGAGGTGGAGAAGGGGAGAGAAAACACAAAAAGAGAATGAGGGAAAGATTGTATGTACAATCCATGCCAATGATTGTTTGTACCAAGGTATGCAATTTCGAATAATACCGCTTGGTACGGGCGATACATATCGGTCCATCAGCTGACTGGTACATGGACCGCCCGTTACCGGACGAAACGATATATATATATATATATATATATAAGGCAACGTCGCATTGCCTTTTTCGACAACGTCACCTTTTTCGACGAATATTTATATATAAATATATAAATAAAATATATATATATATATATATATATATATATATATACATATACGAGGCGACATCGCCTTTTATAAAAAAAATATATATATAAATATATATGAGGCAACGTCGCCCTCGCCTGGGAGAAGAGAGAGGCGACATCGCTCGAATTTATATATATATATATATATATATACCGAGCGGTGTACCGTTCGGTATACCGCTCGGTATACAGTATTGTACCGTACTGAGCTAACGTCGAAACTCCGATATAGTACGAAATTCCGAACCTTGGTTTGTAGCAAGGTTCGCAATACCGTACCGTACCGGTATTTCGACCTGGGCTCGGTATCGGTACGGTACGGTATACCGAGCGGTACACCTGGGTGTACCGTACTGTAGCACTGCTACAGTGCTACAGTACCGTAACTGCTACAGTACCTCGGACCGGTAACCGTCGGTCCGCGTACCGAAAACCTGTCGGACCGGTACATACTGCCCATACCGGGCGATACGGCTCGGTACGGCAAACCCTGGTTTGTAGTTTGTATAACCTAAAATGGTACGAAACATGCAGTATATACCAGTCCAGACATGGGTTGGTACGTGGATCACCCTGTTTCGGGCAGCCTGGTCAAAATAGAAAAAGCGGTACGGCCCATGCAACTCCGGAATTAAAAAAAGAAAAAATCAACACGAGCCCTCTTCTTGCGTATGATGCTGCTGGCGTCACCACTGCCATTGATGCTGCCTCATCACTGCCCATGCTGGTACTTCACCGCCGCTGCTGTTTCATGATATTGGTGTTGTCATCGCTGCTGCTTCCTGATGCTGCTACCACTACCACTGCTTCACGAATCCTTAGTCACATTGTTGCTGCCACTACTAACGTCGTTGCCACCACATTCCTTCTTCCTGGGTTTGCTCCCACCACTTCTTCCTTCTTACTCCTCCACCACTTTCTCTTTTTCCTTCTTCCTTCCTCCTTCCTCCTCTTATGTTCCTCCACCATGCCTTCCTCTTTTCCCTCTTTTTCTGCCTCTCTGAAACATTGGTACATATCGGTGTACCATGTGTCAGTACACTAGTATTGACCAGTATGTACCAGTTCGATAGATCACTGAAATGGGTCCGGTACCTGAATTGGCAATCCTTGATCTATACCATATTGAATTGAGCAAAATCACCTATCAGACTAGTAAATATTGATTCATATTGATCGGTGCGGGTAATATTTTAAACCTTGTGCCTATCATTCTTCATACATATAGTAAATTTGAAAGTAAAAAAGCAATTTATTTTCAAACAAGAAGTACAACATCATAAGGACGGCTAATGGCCATATGGCATAATTTTTTTATCAAGTTCAAGCCCACGTGTGAGTGTCATCAGTCATGTATGCCATTTGATATAATATATATATTTTTTTAAAAAATAAAAAACAAAGATTATTCATAAATCATAAACATAACGTAGAGAGGCATGCACTTACAGTCATCGGTTCCTCCATTTCCAACACCTTAACATTGTTAACCAGCATCTCACCATATTCACCAATGCACCATACTGCTACTCGAACTAAACTTTCCTAGGGAATGAGTTAAAACAGACATGGGGAAATTAGATTGCCTGAAACTTAGCATCAAGATACAAAGTTGGTTTTACCCACCTGATCAGAATAAGTTTGAAATGCTTTATACAGTGACCTTACACAGTACCCTTGAAGATAGGGGGCATTGCTTATTGCAACTATAAGAGCATGCCACACATCATCTTTAACATAGTTCCCAGCCTATAAAACATCATAAGTTGACAACACTGTTCAGAAGCATTATTGTTGCTGAAAAAAATCCTAAATTGCTTTTCCATCTACTAGTGCTTGTAAAATAAGATCTAAAGCTCAAGCAATCAATCTCAAAGTGAAAATATATTAAGAAGTCACTACTTGAAGTTGCCAGACAAGTACTTCAATTCAATTAGGCAATAAAATAAAAAATGTCCATCAACGTCAGATGTTCTCAAATTATAAATCAAGGCTTTAACTTTTAAATACTGCGATAAATGTACCACCTCATATATAATGGTCCAACTGGGAACAATATGCCAGTATACTGAAGTATCAAATATATTTTGACAAATAAACAATAATCATTTTGGGGCACGTAGAGACCCTTGTTAGTGCAAAAACGAAGAGAAGATGTTTATGCAGCGACGACCCTTGTTAGTGCAACATAGAGTGAAGATGCTCATGCAGCAACAACAACCTTGTTAGTGCAACATCCATGTTCTCTGTTTGTTTTTGGCATAGGCAGCTTGAACAAGGCCTGTAAGTAGCCTTCATAGCCTCATATTGCTTAGTTTTGCACCTTATTTGCTTTATTCTTTTCGCATGTTACCAAGGTAAGCAATACCAAATGATATCGCCCAGTATGGGCAGTACGTAACGGTCCGACGGCGTACCGGTATGTGGACCGCCCGCAACCAGGCGGAATGGTTAAAAGAGACCCGTATCGGACGATACGGGGTAATATCGGGCAGTAACGGTCGAAATTTCGACCGTTACCGCCCGACACAACTCGGTAATGGTCGAAATCGACCGTTACCGCACTGTAATGGTCGAAATCGACCGTTACTGCACTGTAATAGTGCTACAGTGCTCCAACGGTCAAATTGATCGTTGAAGCCCTTTCTCATAATATTTAAGCCCTTCTTCTTCCTTATTTCACTCCTAAACTCTTTTTTCTCTCCTAAACTCTACGAAACAACAATTTGTGAATTCAATCGAGGCTAATTTGGGAAGATTAAGAGGAAGAACTTTCTAATCAAGAGGTATGTCAAGTTCTCTTTCTTTAATTAGAGAGTAATTAAAATATTTAATGTTATGATTAGTGTGTTTTATGCATATTAAATATTAAAAAATATTTATGATCCTACGATTAGGCATTTTAATGATGATTTAATCAAAATTTATTCGATTTTATATCAATTCAATGTGTTTAATACCTATTAGGGTGTTTGCCATGTTTATAATGTGGAAAGAGAAGTAATTAATAGAAAATTAACTATGTTAATCATATAATTAGTATATCTAATGATGATTTTATCATAATTTGAATCATATTGGATCAAAATTACATATGTAATATTTCTTTTATGTGTTTGACGTATATATAATGGTAAAATAGGTTTAATTAGGTTTTATTAAAGTTATTTAATGCTGCGATTAATCATTTTAATGATAACTTAATCAAAATTTGTTCGATTTTATATCAATTCAATATATTTAATACCTATTAGGTGTTTGCTATTGAAAGAGAAGTAATTAGTAGAAAATTAACTATGTTAATCATGTAATTAGTATATCTAATGATGATTTTATCATAATTCGAATCATATTGGATCAAAATTACATATTTAATATTTTTTTTATTTGTTTGACATATATATGATGGTAAAATAAGTTTAATTAGGTTTTATTAAAGTTATTTTATGCTACGATTAGTCATTTTAATGATGATTTAATCGAAATTTGTTCGATTTTATGTCAATTCAATGTGTTTAATACCTATTAGGGTGTTTGCCATGTCGACGACCTGACTCACAATTGGAGCATGATAGTGGTAGTGGAATCCAGAGGTCGGCCAGCATGAGGCAACCAACTGCTCCTTCTCAGTTAGGCCGAACTAGTAGCATGAGGTATGGTGGACTCCATAGTTTTAAGAGAGGTCTTGGCAAGAGGTCCGCACCAAATATTATTGATATTGATCCGTAAGCCTATCCCCCACAAACAGCGAAACAGACACGGATTGACGATGCATACACAAAAGAAAAAAAAAAGGGATATTGGGAAGGCAATCTCAAAATGGTTCAACTTTCATAGGACTCCAACCAACACAGCCCAAGGTCCATATTATCAGAGCATGGTCTCTTCTATTCAAAAGTCTGGCACGGGGATCCAACCTCCAACACCGAAGGAGATTTACGGCGTATACTTATATGAGGAGGTGGCAGAACTAAAGGATTAGATCAAATCCTTCGAGAGGCAATGAGACGAATATGGGATGACACTAATGTGTGACAGTTGGACAGGACCAATAAGAATGAGTATCATCAACTTTCTTGTTTATTACAACAGAAGAGTGGTGTTTTATAAGTTCGTTAATGCTTATGAAAAGATCCAAGATGCAAACTACATTGAGATCTTTATGGACACTATAGTAGAGGAGATTGGACCACAGTATGTTGTCCAAATAATAACCGACAATGGAGCGAATTTCAAAAAGGCCGGTTTGCAATTAATGGAAAAAAGAAAAACTTTTTTTGGACTCCATGTACAGCTCATTGCATAGATCTAATGATGAAGGATATTGGTGAGTAGGATGTAGTCAAGAATTGTGTAGCTCGAGTACAATCAATTACAAAGTTTATATATAATCATTATTGGGTCCACGATTTAATGCAAAAGTATGTAAACGGTGAGATACTCTGACTTGGAATTACTCGGTTTGCTACCAATTTTATTGCATTAAAGTCATTACAGCAAAAAAAGGCATGGCTTGAAGGCAATGGTCACCTCGCAAGAGTGGTCTGAATCCAGATATTTGAAATTGAGCGATGGAAAGAAGATAGCAAAGTTCATTCTTTCCTCTAGATTTTGGGATATTACGGCAGAAATCAGAAAAGGTGTGGAACAACTTTATATTGTCCTCCGTAAGGTCGATATGGACAAGCGTCCACAGATGCCGTATCTTAAATATATGCTGATTTCATCAAGAGAGGAGGTTAGGAGAGCATTCAAAGATGATTTTAAGGCCGACCAATACGTACGGATCATTGATCGTCCGACCGATGTTCATATGGATCAAGATATCCATAATGTACTCAGAATAATTTAATTTATTATTATTTAGATAATAAAAAATCATACTAACAAAATTATGTCTTGCAGCATATTATCTAAACCTGGCAATTCAATATCGATATGCTCTCGGAACACAAAATGATTTCTTAATGACACTAAGAAATGTTATATTTCGGCTCTTGCCAAACACTACTGATGCAACCGATGCCCTTATGAATGGTCGATTATTTCGAGAAACAGTTGGTTCATTCTCCGACGTTGTAGCTGTATCGTGTCGTTACACTTTGGATCATGGTGAGGAAAAGTTATACATATTGATTATCAATTATATTTAATGTTAATTATTTGTTATGCTAATAAAAACTTATTTATATCTTTTTGCAGTCGAGTGGTGGCTACAATTTTGAGGGGATGCACCACATTTAAGGAAGGTTGTCGTTCGTGTACTTTCACAGACAACAACATTTAGTGGTTGCGAACGTAATTGGTCAACGTTTACATTGATTCATATGAAGGTCCGCAACAAACTCTCCTATAGACAGTTAGAGAAATTAGTATATGTCTATTATAACACGCGGCTAAGATTACGATGTGATGAGTTGGATAAGGAGCCAGAGGAACCAGATATTGATCCCATTGACCTCCAATTCCACAACGAAGATTCAGAGCCAATGTTAGATTGGGTTGAAGCAGCAAAGAACCAAGAGGATCCTCTACTTGATGAGGCGGGAGATCCTCAGCGTCCTTTACGTTTTATCACCGAGGCAATAGAAGAAGAAGAAGCATAACCCAATAGGTGGAAAATCCCCCTCGATTACAACGTGATAGGAGTTGAACAACATCGAGTCAAACTGCTCGAGGAACTACAGACACCCAACAGTTACAATCGTCCGCCCAGCATGCAAAGGCAAAGGGGAAGGCAGTAGCATCAGTTGCATCGTTGGAAAGAATCAAGTCGGGCGACGAGACACCTTCACAATCACATTGAGCAACTCGCTCGGTCCAAAGACATGATAGCAACACGAACAGTAGTGCCTCAACGGATGATGATGGTGATGTCGGGCAGTCATTGGTCTCGTCTACAAAACTTGAGGGTGGTGCATGGACTGAGGAGCAATATTTTACATGTGCCACCCAAGATTCAGATCATGGAACTCAACAAGGTATTGGTTAAGTTTATGTGCGGAAGCGGAAGGGGAAGGGGAAGGGGAAGGCAGTGGATGAATTTGAGCAGATGCGACAGAGCCTACATGATATAGACACAAAAAAAAGCTCATTGTATTCACAGCCATCGTATTATGGAGAATCATACGGGCAACAACAATATGGTGATAGTTGGTCATCCTTCTCTGAGCAACAGTATGATATAGAGCAACAGATCAGTAGCAAAAGTAGAAGCTCTGACATTCACTAATATATGCCTCAAGAGCTGCCTCGGACAAATATGATTCATGACGATCAACCTACGATCAACACCACATTGATGCATCAATGGTATACAGTGTACCAATACACTGTGTCATGGGATCAATTTTTTGATTGGGTCCAATAAACATATCATATTGATATGTAGATGTATAGGATCGGGGACCCCGATCCACCACCTATGGAGGCCTATCATTCATTTTGGTGGTAGAATCCACAATCAGGTATATCTATATATGTGATACTATTCTTACCTAATTTACATTGATTTTGCTAAACTTATACTATTACTATATTTATTTCTAACTTAAAAACCCTATCCTAACCTTTTTTTTTTATTTTCAGGTATTTTCGAAGGGTTTTACAACCTAAATTAGGTGTACCGCTCGGTACACCGTACCGTACCGTACCGAGCCAGCCTCGAAACACCAGTACGGTACGGTGTTGCAGACCTTGCATGTTACCTCACTTACAGAACATGTTGAGCGATTGTTGTGTCCAGATGAAAATAATTAAAATCCCCATAAAAACCTCACCATGTATGGGATAAAATGGGTTTGACAACACATCGTAAGACGCTAGCTATATTAGCCCCTTCAAACCACTAAGTTGTCATATACTTAACCAGAATTACCTAAGTCATGAGGCACCCTTGTGTTATCCGTCCCGAAGGACTTGTAAAAGAGCAAATTAATTAGTTCATAAAACAAGTAGTGGACAAGTTCTGATGTCTCACAAAAGAGAGTAGTTTTACAAGTAATTTAGCAAACACTTGGTGTATAAGAGGGAAAAGAGAGGAAGAGAAAACAAAGATTTTAGAAGATAAATAAATAGTCACAAGTCTACAAACGACTCCTCACCAAGTGTTTGGAGTGTTGGCAAGTTCCCATAAGCTTTACGTGAAAACTTATAAATTCAATCAACACCCAACACTACTCCAAACACCCATCTAACCCTATGCCATACCGGGGGGGGGTTCTAGGTAGGGTGCTGAGATGACTGATGTTTTGCCCCACATTATAGCCTACATAAAACAAGCTATGACAAGTGAAAACTAAGTCATTTTAGGATAGTTTTGCCCATTTCAGTGAGCGATCACTTTGCAGTTTTGCAATTATTCTTGCTTATAGTTTTTAAGCAAAACACAAAAAAAAGGCAAAACACACTGCCGACTGAATGTACAAAAAAAAAAAAGCATCAAAAAGTTTATTGACGAAGGTGTTATGGGTGCATAACAGTCGTTTATGACATTCTCCCCACTTAAATTATTGACGCCCTTATCGACACTTGTTGGTAGACTTTGATGATTGCTTTTTCATGTCGCAAGGTATCTTTTGGCTCCTAATTGGCTTCTGTTCTAAGAAACTTTTGCCACTTCATTAACTACTTAATATGCTTCACTCTAGTAGGTAACTTCCTCTTGTGATATACTAAAATAGCTTCAACTTGCTTTTCATAAGAGGTTTTGGTGGGGGGTAGCCAAGTTAAAACGTTTCTAAAAGCATCTTACGAATCTGAGTGGTAGGCCTTCAAGTTGCTCGTATGGAATACATTATAAATTTTGAGCCATGTCGGCATCTGCAACTTATAGGAGACAATGCCTACTCTACTAATAATTAGGAAGGGCCCCTCAAACTTGCGCACCAGTCCTTTATGAACCTTATGCCTAAAGAATTGAAGTGATGCTGGTTAGAACTTCATTAACACCAAATCACCGACTTTTAACTTCTCTGGTCGCCTTCCCAGATCTGCCCACTTTTTTATCTTCTTGGTCGCCTTCTTTAAGTATGCCCATGCAATATTTGTATTTCGATGTCATTTCTTTACAAAGTGATACGTTGACAGGCTACTTTTAGTATATTCGATTGCGAAAGTGTGAGGAGTTAATAGCTGTTGTTCTGTAATAATCTCAAAGGGGCTCTTGTTGGATTCAAAGCCCCGATGCAAGTTGTAGGAGAATTAGGCTATGTCCAATAACTTCAGCCAATCTTGTTGGTTGGCACCCACGTAGTGCCAAAGATATTACTCAAGGAACGAATTTATTCTTTCATTTGACCATCCATTTGAGGGTGAAGACTTCGAGAGAAGTAGAACATAGATCCTAACAATTTGAACAGCTCGGTCCAGAACACCCAAATAACTATGCGTCTCGATCACTGATGATATTGTGCGGAACTCCCAAATGCTTCACCATATTCTTCATTATCAACTTGGCTGCCTCTTCTGTTGAGCATTGTAGGGGTATAACAATAGATGTTGTATACTTTAGGAATTGATCGAACCATCATTAGTATCGATCCAAGTCACTAACAGACCCTTTATTTCTCTACCTTATGTTGTTGGCAAGTAAGACGTTAGAACATATGCTTCCATATCTGTACTCATCTTTAGCCAATAGAAGACTCTCCACAAGAGCCAAAGTTCGATGAATACATGAATGCCCCACCTGACACTCTCTCAGGAGTTCATGCTTTAAATTGTCCGCTAGAAGAACATAAACTCTATTCCCTTTAGTATAGACAAGTCTCTCTTGAACCGAAAATCACCGCACCTTGCCTTCTTTGATCAGTTGCATATAGGTTATAGCCTAGGGATCACTATACAGCCCATCCTTGATCCCAGAGAGAAAGTTGGATTGCAATTGACTCGCTTGGCCTCCTTCCAATTGCACCGCATTCGTCAACTTCACCTTTCTCCTCAAGGTATTAGCCACGACATTTACTCTTCTTGGCTTGTACTTCATTGCCATATCAAATTCAACCAAGAAGTCCTGCTATTGTGCTTGCTTTGGAGAGAATTTCTTTTAAGTTTGGAAGTAACTCAACGTGATATTATCTGTCCTTAACATAAATTGCATTATGAGAAGGTAGTGTCGCCACACACGTAGATAGTGGACCATCGCTGTCATCGTGCAGAATAGTGTATAGTTTGTTCAACAAGACGGAGTAATGCAAGAGGATGATGGTCTCTGAAACTTCTAGAGGGAAGGATACCGATAGGGATTATACTATCAGCTAATCATCATCCAACACGTAGCCGCCACATGGAGTCTTCAATGGGAGGAAGAGATCCAAGTCACCTTCCACCAGTCTGCTCGCATAGATAAGAGTTCAAAGCAGGTCCATGGTAGGAAGTTCAGGGTTATCCTCCTCTACCGCCTACGTGGACAAGAGAGCAAGAGGGGATCGTTGGGGGCAATTGGAGGCAGCCTCCCTATAAAATATTCTACAAATATTTTGCCCCTTTGTGACCAGGTATAAAAACTCGTATTCAACACGATGAGAGGGGACTGACTTTTTTTTACCACTCGCATCTGCACTAATACACCTTGGGTTACTAACTTGGGCATCGAAAGGACTAAGTTGGGAAACCTCTCCCGACCTCAGTCTTCATGCAGGTGGCACCTCGGACAACCCTACGCACAAGGTCTTCAATTTTAAATAATACCGCCCGGTATGGGCAGTACGTAAAACCAGTACATAGACCGCCCGTTACCGGGCGATATATATATATATACACACATATATATACACACACACACACACACACATATATATATATATATATATATATATATATATATATATATATATATATATATATATATGTCTATCTAACAAGAAGAGAGGAATGTCTCTTAGTTCAGTAACAATTCTAAGAACCATGAACTTTGCACAAATAATAATGTGCCAGCTGTGTATAAAAATCAATCAAGAATAATGACCACACATGACGTGGAATGATACTTCACTCTTTGTCACTGTATTAGCATGTATGTTCCATGCCACACCTTAATCCTTATCAAGTCTTTTACATAATGATTCTGATGAAACGAAAAAGTCAAATACATTGCTTCTCATTTTTAAAGAACAAAATGTCATCTGTAGGTCAGTATAACGTACCAGACACAAGACCTTAAACATCTGATCAGTATACCATAACTTCTCCTGTGAAAACCTACAAAAGATATGGAGCACCATAAGGCTATATCCAATTTGTTCAAAACCTTTGACAATATTGCTGCAAAATAATCTTCCAACTAATATGTCTCTCATATTGAACAATCATCATGATCCTTTCACAAGGACAAGTCTCATGATTCTCTGAGCTTCAACAATGGAAAAAAAAGTTATTAATAAATGAATAATTTTCAACTACCTATTAGTGTTCTAAAAGTAGTAACATATTAATCTTAGTCTTAGTCAATATATTTTTGAGTTTCAAAACTTCAAAGAAGTATAACAACCATTCATGATAAGTAGCAAATATGCACAAAAGTATTTGTCTACTTGAAACATATGCATAAATTGTTAAGTCAAAAATCCATATACGTTCAATGTCTTAAAGCCTCATGAGTATGATTTGTGTCCAAAATATGTACATCTTCTATCATCTATGTTGCTGACCCAATAAGCATCTATGTATGCTTCAACATATACGTTGTCTCTCTTCTTAAACATCAACCCTTTGCTTGGAGTTCATTTGAGATATTGGAGAATTCTAAAGACAGCCATCATATGTTCTTCATTAGATGAGTATATAAACTGACTTACAACACCACAACAAAAGCAATGTCTGGTCTAGTATGTGATAAAATTAATTAATTTTCTAAACTTACATGATATTGTCCCTTGTCCACCTCATTATTTGTTATTGCACTTAGCTTCTGGTTGTGCTTAATAGGTGTTTCAAATGGTTTGCAACCCAATAAACTAGTTTGCAAGTGTAAAATCCAGTGTATATTTCCTTTGTGATATTGAGATCCCCTCCTTGGTTCTAGCCACCTCTATATCCAAGAAGTACCTTAATGATCCAAAATTTTTGTTTCAAACTCTGTCAAGAAAGTCTTTAGTTTCTCTTGTTCAACAAGATCATCACCTGTCAAGATAATATCATCTACATACACAATGAGTATTGAGACCTTTCTACTGCCAAAGTTTTCCAGTTATTACTACAAAGAGTACCTCCTATCTTTCTTATTGTCTTCAGTGTTTAAAAGTATCTTTGAGCTTGCTAAGGCAGAGTTTTCCACTATATGCTTGCCATAATTTGCCTCATTACTATGTAGCAATTCTTGTGGGCTTTCAGCACTTCGAACTAGAGTAGACGCTTCATCAAGATCAAGAAAAGGTTCTCTACTAAGAACATGATCACGTACCTGATCAAATTCAGAATTTAACCTCAATAAGAATTGAAATGCCCTCTCCATCTCCAACAAGTTTCTCAGAGTTTTAGTATCGGCAGCAGATTCCATTTTCAAATTTTGATATAGGTCTAATTCAGCCAATAGACCTTGCAGATTATTATAGTAATCTGTGACACTTGATGTACCTTGCTTCATCTTTTGAATTTGCCTTTTGATTTGAAAATTTTGAGAAGTAAAACTTACTTTAAAATAGGTTTTATTGATAGCATCCCAAATATCTCTGGCCATAAGAAAAAGAAGGTATGTATTGCTAATTTCTAGTTGCATAGAGTGAAGCAGTCACGACATCATCTCCACGTTCTTGATCTCCCAAGTTTTGCATGAAGCATCATCCAAGGCCAGTGCCTTTGCGGCCGGCCCCATTCACATATTTAAACTTTCTTGTACTCATTAGAGAGATCTTCATGGAATGAGATCACTGCATAAAATTTCTTTTGCTTAGTTTAACGTGTAGAGATCTGGAGGGTATGACTCTCAAATTGAAGGGAAGATTGAGTGCGAATAGATTTAAAAAGATTGGAAACAAACTTAGGAGTTTCAGACATGGCTAGAAACAAAAAGAGTCACTAAAGAGGACTTTCAGTAATGAAGGCTGAGAGAAAGAAACAAATTTGCTGTATGTTATAATCGGCAAAGAAAAAAATCAGAACCTAACCTTTCTCTGTTACTATGAATAGGAAAATATAAGAAGAGAATTTCACTTTTTCTATATTGTTGCTTGTATACATGATGAAGTCATGATGAAGTACATACAGACAAAATAGAGAAAAAAAAAGGGAAAGAACTATCTAAATAGATTTAGGAGCCAATCTAGGTAATATAGAGCTAGTAGATGTAGACAAATAAGGTAATATAATTAGGAAGGAATCAATAATTATATCCTGGTATTTCATACCAAATAAGGTAGTTATTAGAGAATTAAATCACAGCAGATCTTGACAGACCTCAGCACATGCTTCATAGTATTTTAAAATGATTTCCTACTTATAAACTTCATATAGCAAGCCTAGTTGGTTGCAATAGAATTATCAACAAGCTGGTAATCAATCTTGAACATTTGTGTCTTTTTGCCCTCCTTTTTAATCTTAGGAATCACGTATTTTCTCACTCTTCTCTTAATGTGAGCCTCTAGCTTTTTATTTAAATGGAATATGACTCTAGAATCGACATCAACCAATGTACATTCCTACAGTGATTTCAATAGGCGCTCGGGCGCTCGCCTAGGCGCTCGGGCGAGGCGAGGCGAGGCCCCAGCGCCTCGCTTCATGTCCAAGCGCCTTGCTTCAACGAGGCACCGCCTAGGCGCTCGCCCGAGCCCAGGCGTCGGGTGCTTCGGGCGAGTGGTTCGGTCTCCGGTGCTTTAGTTGGTTCAATCGAACCAACCAAATCACCGATAGGCTCCCTCTCACGATTTCCCCGACTTCCCCAACCCTAACACTCACGATTTTGCCGTTGAGATTTCTTCTCCGTTGTCGTTGCTCTCTGCTGCCACTACCGCTACCATTGTCGCTACTCGCCGGTACCACAATCGTCGCTCATCGCTGTTGTCGTCGCTCGTCGCTCGCAGCTCCCGCTCCCACTCCCACTCCCGCTATCGCTCGCCGCTCCCGCTACCGCTACCGCTG